GGAAATATGAAGGTTTGGAAAGTTCATAACTTTGACCGAGAGTTGACTTTGATGATGTTGGATTCAAAGTGGTTCCGGGAATTGGAATAGCTTCTTTATGTCATTTGGGATTTGTACGCAAAACTTTGGTTCATTCCCGGTTGATTTGATATATTTCGGCGCGAGTTTTGAAAGTTGAAAGTCTAAAGTTCAGTTAAGTTCGAATTGATGTGCGATTCGTCATTTCGATATTGTTATGTGTGATTTGAAGCCTCGAGTAAGTCCATGTTATGTTATGGGTATTTTTGGTATGTTCGGACGGGGTCCCGAGGGGCTCGGGTGAGCTTCAGATATGTTTGTGTTGTGTTGCGTTCTTTTTTTTAATGTTTCGACGTCGTTTCTTCAAGCATAAATGGTACCACATTTAGCAAATGAGCTCCAATTTTTGTTTTGATTGAAGCATTAGATCTGTATCATAAGTGTGGAACTATAAAAATTAGAATCATCAAGTTTCGACATCGTATGAGGAATTTATGGTCATTTTACTAACAATTGGGTTGCCAGATTTTTCAGATTAATTACAAAATTGCACTGAATTCGTATTTAAAAATCTGCACTATTTGCAAATATTGAATCCAACATATATCCTTCATTATAAGGTGAAATGGAGTGATTCAAAAGCCTAACTTAACTAGAATTTCACAAAAAATCCATTGGAGGCATCAAAAGTGAGTTTCGGGATCGTTTGACATGAGAAACGAGGTAGAACAGCTGGGCAGAAGCATATAAATCAGGGGTTTGTTCATTTGGTCATATTTTGAGTTGGGGAGCTCGGATTTGGACGATTTTTAAGTGATTTTCACCACATGGATTGGGGTAAGTGTTCTCTACTTAGTTTTTATTATAATTCATGAATCTATCTTTATTTTCGGCAATTGGTTGATGATTTCAAAAGTAAAATTTGGGGGGTCTTGTCTAAAATTTCATAAAGTGAATTTTTGAGTTTTGAACATCGATTTGGAGTCGGATTTGACTGAAACTAGTATGGTTGGACTCTTAATTGAATGATTGTCGGATTTTATAAGTTTCGTCGAGTTCTGAGGCGTCGGCCCAGGTTGGACTTTATAGTTGATTTTGTGCTTTTGAGTAGATTTGACCATTATCAATTAGAATTATTTCCTTAGGCTTTATTTGACATATTTGAATTGCTTTTGGCTAGTTTCGAGCCATTCGGAGGTCGGTACGCGCCGGATAACATTTTTGTAGCATCGTTTGGCTTGTTCGGTATTGGATTTGGCTTGTTCGAGGTAAGTAATACTTCTAAACTTGGTGTTGAGGGTATGAACCGGAATATACGTGATATGTGTTTGGTGTTGAAGTGACGCACATGCTAGGTGACGGGCGTGTGGGTGTGCACCGTGTGAATTGTGACTCGGTTATTTTTGTGGTACTGTGTAGTCACCTAATCTTATTTGTACCCATGAAATATCTACGTGATAGAGTAATTGAGTTGTGATCCATGTTAGAAATCATGTCTAGGCTATATGCTTATCCTGTTGGGACCCACTGAGGTCATTCCTGCTGTTGAGTTACCTATTTTTATTGAAATTACATACTCAGTCATACGCATTCATCTACATATTATAGCTTAGTATCTGTTACTATTTATTGATACATCACATCATTATTTTTGGTTGATCTTTCATGACATTGTGAGCCTGAGAGACTGAAGAGATTGATGACTAAGTGAGGTCGAGGGCCTTTTTGTGAGTGATATTTATGGGAGTGGGCTGCACGCCGTAACATGTTATTTTGATTTATGCCATTATTAGCTTATTATAGCGCTTGGGCTGAAGGATCCCCTCCGGAGTCTGTACACACCCCCAGTGAGCGCAGGTACCTGCTGAGTGCGAGTGCCGAGTGATTGGGAGGATTGAGTGACTGTGAGGACTGTGTGGTTGTGAGAACTGAGTGACTGTGAGGACTGAGTGACTAGGAGGACTGAGTGAATCGATACTCTAAGAGTATGCATATGGTTTTATCACTGAGTTGCATCGCATTCAACATGCACACTTGACACACATGCATAGAGATACATTTTCCTCATGTTGTACGGTATCACGTCATTCATGACTTCACATATATATTGATATGTAGGCATAGAGATGTATCTTTCTCATGCCATTTGAAAATGAAATATTTACCTGTTGAAAGCTTTGGAAAAAATTACAGCTTTCAAACTTACTCATACTTTTGGTGTTTTCGGTGAAAGATTTGAGATTTATTATTATGCTTGAAAAGCATGCTATTTTTTCATAACTGTGAATAAGCCGGACAACATATCTCAAAGATACTTCGTGTACCATTTTTTACTATATTGTTATGCATTGTTGCTGGTTATTAGAGTTGGACTCTGACCCTTGTCCCAGCTCGTCACTACTTTCAACCTAAGGTTAGGTTTGTTACTTATAAAGTATATGTGGTCGGTTGTACTCATACTACACTTCTGTACCTTGCTTGCAGACTTGGATGTTGACGTTGATGTGCATGACATGAGCTAGCATTGAAGACATACCTGCATTCTGGTAATAGCTGCCTCTTATTTATGGCAACTCTAGACTTATGAAAAATCTGTTTATGTATAATTCGGACAGATGATATATTTATTTTACACTAGTTTTGTAAACTCTAAATCTTAGAAGCTCGTGATTTGTACTATCAGCCCTTGGGAAATATATAAAATTATGATATTTTCTTTTATTTATTTATCTCATTAAATTTTATTGGAATTGGTTTATTGTCAATTGTCTTACCTAGCGGGTTGGGTTAGGTGTCATGACACTAGCTTTCTCTCGAGCTTGGCCCTTATTGTTCTGACTTTTTCTTTTTTCACATGAGATACATATTCAATTTTTGTTCAAGCACATTCAATCTCTAGTACTATGAATAATGTTTTCAAATGTTAATATAAAACTTGAACAAATTTATCATCTCCTAAACCATCCTTGTACTAACTTTCATGGTGTACCAGGTCATATTTCGCGAGGCCTAGGCATTGGCAATGCTAGTGCAAAAGATATGTGCATCTTAGCTGGCCTAGTATGGAGACTTCTCACTAATGCAACAACCCCTAGGCAAGGTTAATTATCACCTCGTATGGCACTAGTACAACCAAGAATAAACAGTCCTTCATTTGGAGAAGCATTCTAAAAGGATGGGAGATCTGTTCAAAGGGTATTACATGGTCACCTCACTACCAAACCAATATGAACATCTGGAAAACTAATTGGATTCCCAATATAAAAAGCCTTAGGAATTCTATTGAAGGCCCTCTCTCAGATAATGATCATAAATGGGATTTCACAAAATTATCAATAAATCTCCCAGATGACATCAAAGAAAGAATTTCAAAGATCCGAATTCGTACAAAGGGCTCAACTTGTGACATTCCTATATGGTCACTAACCACAAAAGTTTATTTTACTGCAAATTCTTTCTATAACCTAATTGATCCCCGTTAAACAACCAACTAGAGTTTAAATGGATTTGAGAATTAAAATGTCCTAATAAGATAAAATTCTTCTTATGGCAATGCCTACACAATAGGCTACCATGTAGAGCATACCTAGCACATATAGGTATTAACATAGATCCTATGACCTATTTGTAAAAAAAGAGGAAGAAGAATCCATCACTCACATTATCTTTAATTGTAAAACCACCAATCTCTTTTGGGAAAGTGTGGGATGGTCAGACTTCTATAAACCAACGGGCAAACACTAGCTTCTTCAAGTAAAAGAATTTGATTGCATACTAAAGGATAACTATATTAATTGGAAGTCTTTTTTTCCATTTGCCCTCTGGAATATCTGGTTGAATAGAAATAGAAATAACCAAAACAACACTGACATCCCTATTAACATAGATCATATAAAACAAAGAGCAACCGAATTCAAACTCCTGACCGGAAACAACCACAATCCTTTAAAGAAGATCACTATCAATATAAAATGGCATAAACCACCGGAAGGCTGGTACAAATTAAATATAGATGCAAACTACAAGAACAACAATAAAAAAAGTAGCCTGGGAGGTGTATTCAGAAATACAAAAGGTAGTTGGGTGGTAGGTTTTACAAAATCTACTCATGCAAATGGTTCACTTGAGGCAGAAATAAAGACTCTCCTCGAGGGACTCCAAACAGCGCAAGAATGGGGAATGTTCCCACTGGATATTGAAACAGATTCCACAGAGGTAATCCAATTCATACAACAAGGCAATAGATTATATGACGATATTGTTAATGAATGCAGGTTATTAATGCACCATGAAAAGGAAGTGGTCCTCCGACAAGGGAATAATATGGCACACCAACTGGCAAAGGAGGCTAATGCTCAAACAAGGGTGAAGAAATATTATGCACAACCTCCATCTTATGTTGAATCTTTTGTAATGAATGACCAAAAGAAACAATGTGTTTTTGTTAAGTACTTAGTATATGATGCTTGTAATGTACTAGCAAGCCTAGGTAATCAATGTGTCCTAAGTGACACGGGGTATGACTGTAATGTCCTAAACACAACGTAGTATTAATATAAATATTCTTGTTTGCTAAAAAAAAAAAAATCATTTTTCGCGAATCGAAAGGGGAAGTGTTTTCATCTATCAGCTCCTCTCGTAGATCTATGCAATTTTATGAAGCGTCTAGGCACAGATCGTTCGCGTTGATCAATCAAGAGGGTTGCCGTCACTGCTTAAGGTTATCAATCTCAATATATGTGAGATGTAATTATATACATGTTTATTTTCAAACAAAATCAAACTTCGTGATTAAATAGCAAATAATAACTTATAAAGAACTTCCATATATAAAAATACAACATAACTCAGGATGAAACATTAAATGTATTTTGTTCACTTTTAAAATTGTAGATAGAATGCTAGTTTAAAATGAAAAGGACAAGAATTTGATAAAGCTCGTATTTGTGAATATGAAAAGACAGAAAGAATGTTTTAACGACTTGGCTAAGAAAGTGATCTTACTTATATTCAATATTAGAATGAAATGGATCCGAATAGAACATAATAAATATAGATGATGCATATAATCTCATCCCAACTAATTTAGAATTACACAATTGATTAATTTATGCGATCAAGCTTTTAACTATATCACTTCCGCTTAATTCATCTTATTGTGAAAACTTGTAATCCGTTTTGTTTTAAAGAGTTCCAACACATCACTTCCATCTTCTTCAGTTTCTTCATTCTTCATCCTCTTGCGTTTGAGAAATTTTACTAGTCTTTCTAAACAAATTTTAGCATTGTCACTCTTCATAAGTTCCTCAGCAACTTCTGCAGGGGTGACTTGTACACTCTCAATCAACTGTTGTATTTCTGTAAAATGCCAATTTTGATGATCATGCACTTTGAAATAGTTTTTGGCCAAGACCGTAAATCCTTCAATAGTTAAATAAGACATGTGGATGTGCATATCCATACGCCCCGGCCTTAACAGAGCTGGATCAATCTTGTCTTTATTGTTGGTGGTAAATATGATAACTCTCTCATCTCCACAGCTTGACCATAGGCCATCTATGAAGTTCAGCAGCCCAGCAAGTGTAAACTGGATGTAAGAATCAAAAGAGAAACATAGAAATTAGGGGAAATTCTTCAATTAGCTCACCTAGGCCTCTAGGATGTAAAGTCAACGAGTTTAGAATGAGTATCATCTTATTAAATGTATGTGTTTACAAAATCACACATATTATTTGAGGCGAAAACAATTGTTATGGTCGTAACCACATAACTCATCAAAGATTCGCCTCTGCCTGGGCTCTGCTTGATCAGTTGTGTAGCCAAAATTCTAATAAGATCAAAGTAAATGCAAAAATTTCATACCAAAGATTTGAACATACCAACTAANTATATATATATATTAGCTGCACTATATAATTTTCTAAGGAAGAGGATTTAGTTAAATCCATTTACTACATGTAGCTCTCCATCTCTCGCCTATATGAGCCAACAATAATATGTTCGATAAGATTGACTTTTGACTTAAGTCACGGATTTGAGCCTTCTGTCCTGCGAATCAAATCCGGTGTTTATGCGGAGAAGGATAGAGGGAAGAGCTTATTATTCTCGAGTTTCAAAGGATACGATTGGTCCTGATGAATGACCCTAGATGGTTTTCTACATCACAAAAAAATAAGGATCCGTTTGGCCATAGATTTTGCCAAACTAAATTTGGATTTTATTTGGCAAACACATGTTTGGCCATAGATTTTGCCTATATTTTGACAAAATCACAAATCACAAATCCTAAAACCAGCTCAATAACTAGTTTTGGGCCAAAATATCACTATTACATTTTTTAAAAATTGTCCCAAACTTTTGTTTTTTATAAAAGAGCCCACCATTTATTATTTTGTAACAATATTGTTTCGTATTCTCGATCATCTGATAGTGTATCATGTAGTTTATTATAAAAATGATAATTTTGTACCAAATTTATTTATGTTCAGGACTATGATTTGCGATAATATAATGAATGTTATTGATAATGGTACCGTTGGCGATTTGTGATAGTTTTTAGAACTTGTGAATATAAGTCATGTTTCATGTTTTTACAAAATACATTTGGGAAATATTTTTTGAAAACTGATGTCCAAACACATTTTCATCTTCAAACCAAATTTCACCCAAATCAGATTTTTCAAAACAATTTTGAAAATTTATGGCCAAACCGCTAGCTAAGTATTCGAAAGGATTTTGCTAAACATAGTCAAACTCAAAAAGGGGTGGGAGCTGGAGCTTGAATTTAGGTGACAAAAAGAGTAACCTGTTGTTGGTCACGAGGTGGACGGGCATCAGCATGAATATTTGATAGACTTGCAGTTTTTCTTCTGTCAGGCAACTCCATGCTGCAATCAATATCTTCAATGACAAGTATGGATTTATTTGTGGTCCTCAACAACAGCTTTTTCAAATCTGAGTCTCTCTTTACATTGGCCAACTCTAAATCAAAAATATCAAACTTTAAATAATTAGCCATTGCTGCAATCAAACTTGATTTTCCTGCTCCCGGAGGTCCATACAATAAGTACCCTCTTTTCCATACTTTTCCAACTTTCTTGTAGAATTCTTTTCTTCTTAGAAACCTGTCAAGATCCTCAATTATAGCCTTCTTCAGCCCTGCATTATATACAAAATTTAAGTCTTAGTAACCCGCCTAACCTGCTCAAGTTTAAACGGTTGATCTATTTTATGGACCCGATCTAATGGATTGAACTCGAAATGACTTATCAAACTATTAGGTCAAAACATGTTAGAATAATGTAATCCCACGGGTCAAAAAACTCAAAACCCGTTTTGACTCAAACATTGGACGGGTATGAAAAATCATTTTTGACCCGTTCAAGTTTGATCCAACCCGCCTATTTGTCACCTTTACCTGCATCCATCGCGAGAGTATCGAAGGTGGAAGGGTGTTCAAAGTTGATGGAATCCCAAAATTGTGCTGATGAATAAGAAGAAGAAGAACCTAAAGTATGCAACTTGACAACTTTCTTCTCAGCTTTTATGACATTGGCTTCTCTAAGTACCAATGGCATGTAACAATTCAATACTTTGTCCTTGTATTTCTTGTCAAAACAGAGCTCGAAATGTCGTTTCTCAGACGCCAAAATATCATTCTCAAAATCCCCATTGCCTGGAAATGTTAAAGTCTTTTTGCACTCTTCCGAAACAAATCTCCAAATAACCTCTACTCCTTCAAAAATATCAGTAGTTTTCCAACTCTTGGCAAAGTTAACACGTAATTTCTTCTCTTTGGGGCGTTTGCTAAGTTTGAAAAGGTCAATTTCAGGGGTGATTTTGTGGTACAAATAGATTTCTGCAGCTTCATAGATTTCATTGCTGGACATGCCATCCCTTTCTTCAATGACTAGAGTAATAGTGGATGAAAGAGGCTTAAAATAATGACGAATTTTTGAGAAAATGTAGTCTTGAGCTTGAAGGGGAAGTACTTGATTTAGCATTGTCTGAAATAGCATAATTGAAGCAGACATTGAAGCATAGGCTGAGAATATTGACAAAGGTGAAGGCAATCCTGAGAAGTTCACCATCTTTCTGCGAGCTTCTTCTACGTGCCCAGGTTACTAAATTTCTACAATGAGAAACTTACCTTTTTTTCTACTATGAGTGGAATCTGAAAAGATTTAAGATATGTGCTTTGTTTCTACACTATCAATGCAATTTATGTGATTATAATAAGTTATACTCCCTCGATTTTAATTTATGTCCAACTTTTTTTTTTAGTGTGTCAAAATAAATAATCTTTTTTTATATTTAAAAATAATTTACCTTTATACAATAATTTATAGCAAAAAATATATGAGCCACATTTTGCACCACAAGTCAAATGAGCTTATAAATTGAAACAATAGAGTATTATATTAGACTTATTAAGAAAAATTACCTTTCATTTTGAACCAATTTAACATTATGATGTAAAGAACTAATGTATTTCCAGTTCATAAAACTTAACTAGAATTAAAATATCCCTGAGGGCCACTTTGTACATTTTTTTTCCTGGCACTTTGTACATTTATATAGTACAACATCTTACTTAGATGCAGAAATTTAAATAATGCAATTTCAGGGAGTTGGCGAAAGAACCAAAAAAGCCATACGATGTGCTGGTAAGTTCACCAACGTTGGATACATAAAACAAAGAGATTTATAGTGTCCAAGGTCGACACCTGTCCTATTACCTATGCGCATGGCCTTTTCACTATTTCTATAAAAAGGCACCAGAAGTGGTCCAAAATCCAAATCGTATTTGAATACCCAAACCACTAATAAAAGAAATGTGCTTTGGGTGAATCCCATCACGCACGGTATTACTCAATTTCAAGTTAGTTAAAATTTGATTATAAAACCAATATATTCCTATTGATGAAACTCTTATTCATAATTTTAATTATGGATTCACGTGAATTTGATACTTTTTGTTCCGACTTTATATATACTCCCTCCGTTCTAATTTATGTGAAATTATTTTACTATGCACGGAGTTTATAAATTTTTTTTAAAATTTAAAAGAAACCAAGTTTCAATTAAACAGATAAAACAATTAGCAGGAAAATGTCAAACAAATTTAAAGTATATATCTCAGATCAATGATGAAGAATATAACAAGATAAAATAATTTAATAAATGCGCAGCAATGATCTACACAATTTAAAAATATAATCTTTCACATTTAGCCCGTGTACGGTTCTAAACAAATCAAAAAGTGTCCAGAGAGCTAAATTGTTTCCAAATTTAAAAAGAGGTCATTCTTTTTGAAACGGACCAAAAAGGAAATAAGTTCANATATTAAAAAAAAATTATTATCGTTTACATTAATTTAAGATTGCTGTGGATGTTCCAAAACTTCAAATCCTGAATTTAGTCTGCCGAACGCTACATTCAAGTTGAATACCACGTGTTTTGTATGTGTACTCCAAGGAATTTTAATGTTTAGATGATTTATCGTATTACCTCTATGACAAAAAAGGGGGAACTTTTTAAACTTCAACAAAAGTTCCTGTCCAAAATAATTGTTGAAAAAGGAACTTTGCCCCAATGAAGTTAATCTACGAAGGCATCTAGGGAAAGAAATGGACTTGCACTTCACATTAAGGGATGGCAATTGGGGCGGGCAGGGCGGGGCTTTTTAAAAAGTTAGTGGGTTAGGGCAGGGCAAGGCAAAGTTTAATGCATGTTAAAATGGACCACTTTGCTTCCACCAACAAAAACACCTATGAATACAACCAGATTTCAGAGTTGAAAAAACAATTGTAGTACTAGTTTTCAGGAAACAATATGACCTCACTATTCAACACTAATTCAACTAGCGATAAGTTAAATCATATAAACAATATGAACTTGTATATCTTAGAATTTACAGCTGACTATAAGAAAATATATATTTTTTCTGTTTTTCCTTCTTTTCTTTTCTTTTTTGTGAATTCGAGCGAGAGGGGAATGATCACTTTCGAGATCAAGTGACGAAACATAATAAAAAAATGTATGAGATTAAAAATTTCCACGCACTAGATTCATGGTATTGTTTATAAAGATATGGTTCAATCTGGGACATAATAACATCATGGATTTTCTACTGACATTAAAACGTAGGCCTATCTATTTGATTAAAGAAACTCTAAGTATTGAATCATAGTGAGTTTATTTCTACTGATTTCAGTATTAAATGAATCCAAAATCACACACAAGGTGTTGACTCAAGGGCTGACATTTTAATGCATAAACTCAACATATTTTTTCCAATATCTGCACCTGAAATTAGGTCGTTGTCCCTTCCAAGCCTCTTGTTACGGGAAAAGCAATATAGTTATTTCCCATGCTGCTGGAAGCATAATATGCAATGAAATATATAAGAATGAAAGTAGTCTTGAATTAACTATTGAACAGGGATAAAATAACTTTGTCAAGTTCAAATTGGTTCTTTTAATATGAGGTTCAAATAAAAATTTGAAAAAGTTAAAAAAAATTAATTTAGAATATTGCAAAAGAAAAAATAAATAAAAATGATGAAAAAACATAAACGGGGCAGTGTGGGGCAGGGCTTAGCAGGGCGGGGCGGGGCAAAAATCCGAGAAAATATTAAATGGGGCAGGGTAGGGAATGTTAGCAGGCCAAGGCTTGCCCTGCCCTGCCCCGCTCCACCCTATTACCATCCCTAGATATCACTGCTTAATGCGGATTGGCGTGAGCCTTCAACAGTGCCATTTGCCGAAGCAGCTCTTGTTGGATCTCAATCTAGGTCATTTTTTGTTGATTTTATGGCTCATCATAAATAAGAGATTCGTAAATAAATAATACATAAGGTTAATAAATAATTTTGTGATACTCAGGAGGGTTTAGGGGTAAGAATGGAGTAGGTATTTTGATGGACAGGGAACTCGAGGATCAAGTAGTTTAGATTAGGAGAGTAAATGAGCAAGTAGTTGAGATTAGGAGGGTAAATGACAGGCTGGTGGCTATCAAGCTGGTTGTTGGAGGTATTTTTAACGTGGTTAGTGCTTACGCACCTCAAGCGGGCTTGGACGAGGAGGTTAAAAGGTATTTCTAGGACGATTTGGACAAGGTCGTGCAAAGTATTCCACACATCGAGAAGCTAGTCATAAGAGGAGATTTCAATGGCTATATCGGGTCGACCTCTATAGGATATGATGATGTGTATGCCAGTTTCAGTTTTGGTGATAGAAACGAAGGATAAACTTTGTTGTTGGATTTTTGACTTGGTGATAGCTAACTCGAGTTTCCAGAAGAAGAAGGAGTACTTGCTCACCTTCCAGAGTATAGTAGCTAAGAACCAGATTCATTACCTACTCCTTAGGAATTTGATAGAGGTATATGCACGGACTGTAAGGTTATCTCGAGTAAGAGTTTCACGACTCAACATAGGCTCTTGGTAATGAACTTAGAGATTGAGAGGAAGAGGAATAAGAGGGTTGCATATGGTCAACCAAAAGATCAAGTGTGGAGTCTTGACTAAAGACAAATCTCAGGAGTTGAGGGAGCAGTTGATGGATATGGTGTCTTGGAGGAGTAGTGGCGAGTGATACGTGAACGAGTACAATGAACTACATTAGGGAAGAAGCTAGAAAGGTGTGAAGAGTCTTGAAGGGTTACTCTAATAGGCTTAGATGGGACTACTGATGGAATAAGGAGGTGCAAAAAAGTGAAAGCTAAAAATGAGGCATATTTGAAGTTAGTAGAGAGCAAAGTCAAGAAAAAGAAGAGGGAGAATCGGGAGAAGTACAAGACGACTAAGAAAGAGGCAAAGTTAACGCACGACAGTGAAGACGACATCATTTGAACGCTTGTATAAAGAACTTGAGGACAAAGGCGGGGATAAGAAGCTATACATGCTAGCCAAGGCGAGGAAGATGAAGGAATATGACCTAGACCAAATGAAATACATAAAAGATAAGGAAAGTAAATTATTAATATAAGAGGCACATATTAGAATAAGATGACAAACATACTTCCATAAACTCTTGAATAAAGAGGGGGGCATGACTATTGTGCTAGGTAATTTGGAGCACTTCGAGAGTCGGTGAGATTTTGGGTATTGTAGGTATATTAAGGTCAATGAAGCTGATGGGGTTATGTGTAAGATGAGCAAGGGAAGAGCGATTGCGCAAGACGAGATTCTGGTGAAATTTTAGAAAACCGCAGGCAAGGCAGGTTTGGAGTGGATAACTAGGTTGTTTACTGTTATTTTTAGTACGACGAAAAATACTCGAAGAATGGAGGTAGAGTATGATGAATCCTTACAAGAACAAGGATGATATTCAGAATCGTAACAACTATAAGAGGAATCAAGCTGTTAAGTTATACTATAAACGTTTGAGAGAGGACGGTGAAGTTGCCGGTGAGGAGAAGCATATCTATTTCGAGAACCAGTTCGAATTCATACCGGGAAAATCAACCACGGAAGCCATCTATCTTGTGAGGAGATTGAAATAATAGTATAGGGATAGAAATAAATATTTGCATATGATGTTCATTAATCTAGAAAAAAACATACGACAAAGTCCTAATGAAGGTTTTATGAAAATATTTAGAGGCTAAAGGTGTACCTGTAGTATACATTAGGGAGATTGAGGATATGTATGATGGAACCAAAATTCGAATAGGACGGTAGGAGGAGACTCCAGACACTTTCCAGTTGTGATGGAGTTACACCAGAGATATACTCTTAGCCTATTTTTATTTACCTTGGCGATGGATGTATTTACATGCCACACTCAAGGGGAGGCACCATGGTGCATGTTATTTGCATATAACATAGTATCAGTTGACGAGGTGTAATGCAGAATTAACACTAGGCTGGAGGTTTGGAGGTAGACCCTGGAGTCTAAAGGTTTCAAGTTGAGCAGAACTAAGACATAATACTTAGAGTGTGAGTTCAGTGATGTTACTCAGGAGTCTGACATGAAAGTGAGGCTGGATTCACAAGTCTTCTCTAAGAGAGGTAGTTTTAAGTACCTTAGATCAGTAATCCAAGGCAACAGAGTGATCGACAATAATGTCACACATCGTATTAGAGTGAGGTAGATGAAATGAAGGATAACATGCGGTATTTTGTGTGATAAGAACATGCCACCAAGACTTAAAGATAAGTTCTATAAAGTGGTGGTCAGATTGACTATGTTGTACGGATTGGAGTGTTACTCAGTCAAGAATTCTCATGTCCAAAAGATAAAAGTTGTAGAGA